TGAAATTTGTTGGTCTTTAAAGAGCTCCTCTGCAGGTATTCATACGATGGCTCTGTCGATGAATGTCTGCATCTTATCACAGATAATGTCTTCGTCTGTAACCGAAAAAGTTTCCGTAAATCCAGTGGTTTCGTTGATATCTGGCGTTTGAAATGATTTATAAAATTGAGTTAATTTTAGTGTCAAATGAATGTCTAAATGAAGACTAAATGTGTGGACAACTGACCATTTCTGATGGATTGCTGGATTGGATCAGATGTTGGGATCAAAGTGTCAATCGATGTGAACATGTGAGGAGTACTGAGGAGTACTGCCCTCTCACTCATTGCACACAAACTCAATAACTTTTGCAACTTTTTTCCAAAAGTTTTTCCTTTTTATAAATGATTTATTAAATTAATTTAATTCAAACAAAATATTGTCTTATGTTTTGAGAAATTTTGCAATTTTGTTATAATGTAAACACAGGTACACATGTCATTAATATTAGACATCTAAGACAGGAGATTCAATAAATATTTTGACATTTCATACTTTTCTAAATTGGATAAATACCCAGGAAATACTAGAATACATGACATGTATATACTGTATCAATTATTGTGGACTACAATTGATAGTTTATTGATTATAAATGGACTCATAATTTATATTTATTGATTATAAATGGACTCATAATTTATATTTATTGATTATAAATGGACTCATAATTTATATTTATTGAATAATGACAAAGATACATTGTATAAGGCTAGAGATTATGTAATATTTAGTCTTTGTTCTGGAATTTCGAGTTAATATTGCAATACATATAAAGAGTAAATAGTTTGCTCACAAATGATAGATTATTTTTAATATTAACCAATGTATGAATTACTGTATTATTTAACTATTAATAACAAATAATATGTTTAAATGTTTTCATTATCTGCGAGCATTCATTGGACCAATTAATGGGTAGGAAATGGTTCCAAAGGTTACCACAAAAAAAAGTTCAATACAATGTTCAGTGCAATCGTTCTCTGCCCGTACAGATTGCTCCCTCCCCTCCCCTTCCCTCTCATCAAGTTATAATTATATAAAACTTTATGGCACTTATTTTCTGCTAAACTCATCAGTTAGTAATCATAAAGTTATTAAACATAATGCTTCCAATTAAATCATTAAACAATAAATATGAACTCATCTATTACAATATTGTAAGAAATGTTGTAAAAATGAATGAATGAGTAATAATTTGTAGATTTTTTTATATAAAATGTACTTGAAATTTCAAGTATTTAATGAAATAAATGCTTAATTATGAGTTCAAATTTAATGTTTTATTTAACAAAGAATTCAAAAATATAAAATACAGATGAAAGGCACAGATTATAATTATTATTAAAACTTATCTATAAAAATCATTGCATATACTGTATTATACAACAAATAGTAATAAATTAATTACATTTCTTTCACTATAAATTGAAATTAATGTTTACATCAATAAGAAAATTTAAAAACATATAAACTCATGATCAGTATTAAATACATTAAAAAATGAGAGTTTTATGTAGAGATTTGTGATGAATTGAATCAATAATTTAAAGTGGAGGCGCCTATAGGGCCAATTGCAGTAAAGCCATGGCAGCGGCTGAACATAAGGCCGTTAAGGGGACGGTTAGAATCCAAGCGGCGGCTATATTCCGAAACAGTTTCCAGTTGACACCCTGTTTGTTACGAATCCGTCCCACCATGATTACTGATCCCACTTTACAATGAGTGGTACTAATGGGTAGACCTATCTTGGAGGCCACCAAAACAGTAGAGGCGGCGCCGATCTCTATAGTGAACCCACTGGAAGGAGTGATTTTAGTCAAGTCATTGCCCATCGTTTTGATCACTCAAGCCGGGGTTTGGGTCTCTGGTTGTGATTACGGTTGGGGAGGTATGTCATTACATATGGTGCCCCACAGACTCCAAACTCTACTTACAGGCAGGTTCTTCTAGTCGTATTATCGGTGATTCCCAGGGATTGCATTGCTGTCGACAAACAATGTTGTAATCAATATAAATAAATACACGAATTAGTGAATGAGTCCATACCTGACATCATTGCCTCCGTGAGCGAATGACCCGAAACAAGCCGTCAGTATTTGCAAGAATGTGAACAAATGGGATACTTCTGGCTTATCGTCTTCGTCTTCTTCACTTACAGCTACGTCCACACCATTCAACACTTTATGTCCGTTTTCAATGTCATTAGTGACTAAGTCTTCACAATTCAATATATTCGGGTTCTTTTCGTTGGTGTGATTGAGTTCCTGAAACAAACCATTAGTTTATTTATTGTCTCAATGGTATAGTATTTTAAATAATACTTGTTTTTGGTCAATGGGCTGATCTAGGTTGTCGTTTGTATCAATTTTTGGCACTTCCTTTATCATTAAATCTGGTTTCGACAATTTTTCTGTAATAATAAATAATTAAAATAAAGCCAACTTTAATAGCTTAAGTCATATAATACCGAGTTTAGCGGTAATAGACTTTCTCTGTCGCGGGACTACAAAAAACCAAACAATAGCTGCTATTATAAGACCAACTCCTATGGCTACTCCGAGGGCAATATACCATTGGGTGTGAGCTATTTCATCGATTAAATCGGTAATAATTAATATAATTGCGATTTTTATAATATATTTGAAATCATACCCCAGGGATCGTCCTCAACGATGGAGAATATGTTAATTAAGACAACAATCCCATAGATTAGAGGAAGAGCTATGAGTCCCGGTTCAAGAGGTGCTTCCTGTTTGTGTTTATATAAAAAGTTGTTAATATAATTGAAAGAAATTTTTGTAAAAATGTATACTTTTTGTAAAATAAATACTCGAAGCGCGAGAAATATGAGTACGGAAACTATTCCTGAGAGGATAGGACTGGCAAACCACGAGCCCACTGGTGATGTCATCGCATGATAATCATAACTAATATTAGTTTATCATATGATTGATGAAAAGTCCAAAGACTTACCAATCTTTGCGATTTCAATCCATTTAATGCTATCAAAACCTTTGGCCACAACCGAGAAGCCAACCATTGCACCGACTATGCTATGGGTGCCAGAGATGGGCATTCCGGCGAACGTGGCCACCAGATTCCATATGGCACCTCCTATTACACGGGGGCAGTATATTTAATGGCATTCTACGCTATGACAATGAGTTATACAATTGACATAAAAATTTATTTCTCAATAATTCGTTACACTTATTGCCTTATCTTATCATTAATTTAGAGAACATTTAATAAACACAAACTAAGACAACATAAATTAGTTTATAGTAAGCAAAATAGAGCTACACTTCCTTTACATGTAATAAAGTCTATAAAAGTTAAGACATTTTAATGCAATATTAAGCGATATTAATTCAATTCTATTCAATTATTGCGATATCAACTTTCTCACTATTATAAATAATAATAATAATAATAATACAGTAATATGATTGAAATGAAAAGAAATATTGTATTTGGAAAACTAAATCATGTCAACATTTCAATTAAATTTGTCCAAAACTTAGCATATGACTAATATTTACAAGATTTTACAGATATGATGGCTTAATACATCTTTAAGGCTTAAACTCTATTTTATGAATTTTCTATTTGCTACTTTTCCAAAACTTATTATCCATATTAACAAAAATAATATACTGAAATAAAATTTACTTTTTACGCTTTTAAGTACTGATATTACAAATGAATAATGAATTCACTCATTTAATTGTTTATATCGTAATTAATTCCTGTTTGGATACTCACGTCGGTCCATTGGGTTGTATTCAGAAAAAAGGAGCGGAAGTTTGTATAACTATATTTACTAGAACCAGGCATATCATGTCGACACCTCATAACCTACATAATAATCATTGTATCAAATATGAAAGGTTATTGTAAATATAATGAAATTGATACCGTTATACGTATGGGTATCAGTATCGCGGCCGTTAGAGCTTTTGACACCGGTTTTACGTACGGACTGCATTACAATTCTGAAACCTCGGCTGCCTACACGGCTTTCTCAACCGGTGTAGCAACCGACCGACACCAAACGCCAGGAAAAAGGCTATGACATACCCCAACACCACTATCCATATGACTGATGGGTCTTTAGGGTCTAGAGTTGACTCGATTTCAGAGGACCGGAAATCATAGAGCGTTGTCATTGTCGGTTCAGATGTGATATTTTAGTTTAAAATTTATAAAACTTAAAAAACTTATTTATAAAATATTTAAACATTTAATAAAATAAACATTTCATTTAATAAACTACTAAAATCACAATATATTCAGTTTAAATGTTGGAATAATATATTCTAATTGCAGTATTGTATGCGAGTATATGATATGATTGCAAATTGGAAACCAAATGAACTGGAAATAATATTTATATACATTAGTACTTGGTATATATACATTAGTACTCAGTATATATACATTAAGTGAAAATAAGAATTAGATATAAATTGAAATAATCTTCAAAGATATTGCTGTAGTACATTAGTTTGTAAATAACGTAATTTCACGTTCTTAAGTGACTAGTGAACTATTGATTTGTTTGATTAGGATTTTATTGTATGTTAAGTACTTTTTTAAGTTCTGTTTAAGGGTTGAAATAACAGTCTCTTGTCACTGAATTTATAAGTTTATTAGTACCGATCGCTGTGTTTAGTATAATTACTATTTTTAAACTTTTATTCACTTTTTCAGTAACGGTACACTTCTATAAATGCTTGTTGGTTCAATACATAATCTATAAATTATGTACAATACAGTATATTTACGTATGTGACCATAGGATTACTCAAATGCTATGTAGCTATTCAAAAAAAATTTTAAAATCACAAATTCTTATCAAAATGCACTTTTTATAAATCAATCGACAAAAATAAACTCAAGAATATACTGTATTGTTATAACGATATTATATAATAACGATATAAAGATTATTAATTGGATAGAATTAAATTGAAAGGAATATTTGAATTAAATTATAAAATTTATCATATAAACGTGAACACAATACTTGTAATTAATTGAAAGAACATGATTTTTATGGCAAGTACTTTTGATTGACAAATAATTTAGGATGTTAATTGTACTGAACTATTAAGTGCATTTAGAATAGTGATATAATATTTTGTACTAATTAACAATATAATTATTTTGTTTAAATGATAAGACATTTCTAAATTGTTGGTAACATGAGTGCAAAAAGACAAATAACTATTTTTATGGTCAACTCTTTGTTAAATATAATATACTGTAAAATGTGTAAATGAGATGAAAATCTTGTCTTTATTGAAACAAAAGCAGAAAATTGATAAATTAGTCAATTAACCATCAAATTAGTGTTTCGGTATCAAACTAATGATAATAAGTTGCAGTGCATTGAAATGCAATTCAATATTTAATATTATATCATGTAATAGTATATTTAAGTTTATATTGTATTTAATTGAAGTGAATTCATGTCAAACACATAGGATTTGCTCCATTTATCTCATCTCCACTTTCAGACACTTTTTTCACAGTTATTTAATTTGAGACAAACGAAACATATATATAATATTATACTTTCAATTATATAACTGTCATAAATATCTATTTATATGTCAATATCATCAATTATAAATCTTATTGTTTGGCTAAAATTACAAAATCTTATTTCATATTTAAATCAATCATGAGTTCAATTCTTGGTATTAATTTAACAGTAAATGAATTTTATTTTCTTATTAGGTCTTAAGAGTCGGGATTTTTATGTAAAACTTTTTTACATCAAATGTTTTTGCATAAATTCAGATATATTAAGCATGTTAAGATAAATTTAAGATTGATTATACTGTATTAATGTTATACTTATTTAAATAAAAGTTTCATTCATATGTATATCATAGCAAATATTTAGGAATTTGCGAAAACATATGAAATCTAATAATAATGTCATAAAACATATCTTAAAATAACTGAAAATATGTGACAATTTAGGAAATAACATTTAATTGAATTATATGGGAATTAGATGCAAATGATTGCAAAAATGAGTGAAATTAAAATAAATAAATTGAAAAACAAGTGAATTGTCGTGAAAATGAGTGTAAATTATAAATAATAGATAAGCAATGAGTGATTGAATGGGTTTTCACTGAAAACCAGACAAACTGTCACTTTTTGGATGCAATCAATGGGTTGTCTGTCCTATAATTCACTCAAATATGATGTGATTTACTCTAATTGTCACAACATTTACACCAAACCTATCACTCATTTTCGTAGAAATATTTATTTTATAATTCAATCAACATTTGGGTCAATACTAGTCTTTCAAAAAATTTCTTCACTTTTTAATCGCAATTTATAAACAATATTCAAATAACACATTAAAATATCAAAGTATTAATTATTTTAAATAAATATATATATACTGTATCTATATTACATGAAAAGTACTTACATTTAAATTGCTGTCAAATATTAAACTAATAAAATGTGAATTATTAATAAAAACTTATGAATAAATATGAAACAAATGAATAAATATCATGCAAACACTACTAAACAAGTAAAACTAACTAACAATAATACAATCATATTTAATGACTAGTAATTAACTATTAAAAAAGTATTAAAACAAGTTTTGAATCAATCAATTACTGTTAGTATAGTTTGTGAATACATTTTGGCACAAAACCATAGGTTTGGCTTATATTCAAGATCTATTTAAATGCAATAAATCAGTCAAACATTTACAGCTATTTATAAGTAAACAACTATTTGTCGGATATATGAGAAACGTGCCATTATTATAGGCCATCATATATTTATGCATTTGATTGTGTTTTGTTAAATCAATTTATTTTGCAGTCAGTTTTGTCAGAGTAATCAAAAACCAAGTTTAAATATTCATACAAAAAACTTATGCAATAAATAGACAAATGTTTGAATGGACTGTAATTTTGTGTACATTTACCGCAACTGTTAACGACATCTGTTGAGCACTCAATGCATACAAACACTGTCTCTAATGTGAACACAATTAATGCAAACATCACTTCAGACTATATTTTGTTAATCATATGAAACGAGTGCTAAAAGTGTTGTCAAATAAATAGACATCAATTGAGTGGTTGCGCGAAGAGTTGGTCTCATACTGACATCGAGTGTCCGTTTGAGACAAAGAGTTATCAATTGATTGAATAGTGATTAAGGAGACAATCAGTGACCATGAGTGAGAGCAAGGCCAATTTGCGTAACTATCAGATCCAGTTACAACAGGTGGAGTCGGCCCTCACAACCGACCCGGACAACCAGGAACTCACGAAACTCAAGGAAGACCTACTCGTGAGTACCACTCATGTCCTACACGTGTAACCATTGATTAATCGTTTGATTTGTTGCTCAACAGGAAGTGATAGCACTGACCAAACAGTTGATGGCCAGTGAGGGCGAGTCTGAAGGCAACAGTTCCTCCAATAACGCGACAAATAGTGAAACGAGTCATATCTTTGAAGCCGGAGATCACTGTTTGGCGCCACTCAGCGAAGATGGACAGTATGTATGCCATCAGTGGTGGCAGTGATGGACACATAACCCATTAGTGATACCATTGATTGACTGATTGTCTTCGACCGACAGGTTCTATGAGGCGAGAGTAGAGGACATCACATCCGACGGTCAGTGCACTGTAGTCTTCAAACACCGCAAAGTGTCTGAAGTATGTTTGGTGTCACTACTGAAGCCAATCGGCAAAAAGCGCAGCAAAGCGTCAGTAAATCCAAATCCGACCCAATCTTTCGGTGACACTAGACTTAAGAGACAAGCGGTGACCGAACAGAAGGAATACCTTAAGAAGAAGCAGCAGAAGAAGAAGGAGAGACTCAAAGACTTGGAGGAAGAGCGAGAGAAGGATAAAGTGAAGTGGCAGTCATTCAACACTAAAGTATGTTTAATGTGTTTATAATTATTAAATAATTGTTTAATGTTTAGTTTGATTATCCCTTACATTGATTCACAAACCCTGTAATACTTAACAATTTCATAGACGATAATATTAATGCCATTCTTTGGTGCCATTCATTGCAATTATAGGCGTTTAATAAGAACCTGAAGGGCGCCACCAAAAAGAGTATCTTTGCATCGCCTGAATCCGTGTCCGGGAGAGTAGGCGTTGGGACTTGTGGTCAGTAATTGTTTTGTTAATCAATTTGACATTTCATATGCTTTTTATTTACTAAATGTCTCTCACAAGTCAGTATATTCTCACTTTTTGTTACAAAAAAGTTACGTTTTATTGTTACCGCTATTCATATTTAATTCAAAAGTTAAACCAATTAATTATTTGGTATTCATTATATGAGTAAACTATACATCAAATTAATTAGTGTTAAAATCATAGATAACTATATTATCTTAAGGCACTAATTATGGTTAGCAACGACTTAGAGAAACATTTAATTAAATGAATGAAAGCTATCATTAAATCGTATTCAATGGACTGATTGGTTGTGTAGGTGTGGGCGGGAAACCAATGACTGAATTCACTCATCAGGAGAAGTGGAAGAAAGCGGCCGGTTCTTCAGGTATGGCAGGTATGGTGTCTGGCCCTATGCTGTCTGGCCCTCCCTCACGACTCGCACACAATCATAGATATAAATAAATCGATATATCTTTTGTAAATTATATGCATTTTTATTACTAATATTTTCATTTCAAATCTGTCGTAAAATCATTTATTATTATACATAATATTGACATTAAATCTTTAAATCGATTGATGTTTTCGTGAAAATAAAATAAACAAATGTTTGATTTCATTATAAATATGTTTAGAAATATTCTGGAAATGACTCCAAAGCTAAGAAAAATATTTTCAAAGTTTTCTTTTTGTTGATATTTATAAAAGAGTTAACGCATAGCGTATGAGAGACTTATTGATCCGATATATGAAAGGCATTGTCACGAACCCGAAGATTGAATCAAATCGAAATGTATGTCGAAAACAGTCGAAAATGTCGAAAATGTCGAAAACAGTGAATGATCTTAATCTTAATGATCGTAATCTTAATGATCTTAATCTTAATGATTGCTTAATCTTTAATAAATTAAAGCATATTTTAACGACTATATGGCTAACAATTGCATCGCCTTCTGGTGCTGTCGCCATGACTGCTGTAATCCAGAGTCAAGACGTCTTTGTTTGTCGACTCTTCCAAAGCCAATGTCTTCTGTCTCTGCAGTATCTGTCATGAGATGAGACAATAATCGGTGAGACAATCGTTGAACTATTCATTTGTCAGTTTATGTGCAAACCTTTGCCACTAAATATTTAGCCGATTCGTCGACATTGACGTTGTCTTTGGCAGACGTGTAATACCAGCCGCAGAAGCCGTTCTCTTCACAGAACTTGTCCAGAGTATCGGCACTATTGGCGGCCCCTTCCTTAGGCATATCGCACTGGTATGAGCAGGTATCAAATAGACATATTTCATTCAACTGTGTTAAAGGCTCGACGAAATATGAAGCTTAGTTTTTAACATATATTTTGCTCTCAATAACTGGTCATATTTGCCGACAAAAGGGTTCGCAATGAGACACCTGTGTTGACGCCTTTGGGTCTGCGATAGGCCGCAACTTTCACTGTATAAGGCATTTGATATCCAAAAGTCTTTAAAACAATACATGAATAGATGCGACCGGAAATAAACTGTAGATATATAGGCGTCAACACAGGTGTCTCATTGCGAACCCTTTTGTCGGCAAATATGACCAGTTATTGAGACCAAAATATATGTTAAAAACCAACCTTCATATTTATATATGCAAACCTTATTAGCTAATAGGAGACAGGGAATGGGAGAACCATCGGGTAAACACACTTTAGTGTCCAAATCGTGTTTCCATTTGAGTATGGCTTCAAAAGTTGGGGGTCGGCTCACGTCAAATACCAGGAAAGCGCCGACAGCTTCCTTATAATAAACTCTCGTCATATTCCCAAACCTCTCTTGACTATCAATTCATTGAAAATATTATTTTAATGTTCAAATATGTTTGTCATGACATACCCCGCAATATCCCATAACTGTAGTCTAATAAGTGTGTTTTCATCCCAATTGATTACTTTTAGCGCAAAGTCTACCCCAATCTGTAAAATAAAGTCAAGTTTAAGTAAAATGCAATTTTATGTTAAGATTAATTCAAAGAACTCAAAGAATATTGTTTATGACTGAATAGACACTTCAATATATTCAGTATATATATATTGTATATATATATATATGTATATATATATATATTCAGTATATATATTGAATATTCAGTATTCTATATACACAGTACTGCAGTATATTTTGGTATTCATTTGTCAACAGCAATGCATTTTCGCTCTTTAAGTAAATGTAGTTTTATTTATCTATTTTTCTGTTAAACATTTTTCTAATCAATGGTTTACTTTAATCACAAATAAATGTTATAATTTGTAAATGAGTATTTTAACCGTAAACTATATAAAAATGATAAATATTTATAAATTATTATAGAGTAATGTTTGATACTCATGTTGGGTTGACATTACTCTGACAATCAATAATCTAATATTAGTATGACTTTCACGTGAAGACTAAGAAGAATGAGATTAATTGCAGAATATGTCATAATTATGTTGAAAGCATTCCATTGCATCCAATCCTTCATTTAGTTGATCCCATTTTGCTTAATATATCACAACAAATGCATAATTTAAATGCATTTTTGAGAAAATAAATTTCATATAAATAATTCAATTAAAAAGGCATTTTCAGGAATTATAAATTCATGAATACTGCTATGATTTATTGGTAATATTTTAATTACCAGGTACAATATATGTGTATGAATATTATGTTAATCGTAAGTATTGATCATTTATACGGTAAGTGTTGGATAATAGTAAGAATTGGGTACTAAATAAACAACTTTAGATAAATAGTGATGTATTCATACGGCTCTCACCCATCGATTACAACCGAAATAAAGTCAGTAAAGCATTGAATAAATTAAGGCGTGGAATGACTGGGCATTAGATGCCATGATATCAGACTTTGACTGATATTCTCACATCATTTTTAAACTCAAGAAATATTGTGCAAAAAACCTTATCTTATATAATATAATGTTGTACTGTATATATGCATTTCATTATAAATGAGCGATTCAGTGATTTGGATTCAAATTTATACTGTATTTCACTGACAATGAGTGAGGGATTGATTGGCAAACATTAAAACAAATTTAATTAGAGATTTAGGGCACGTCTTCATTACCGTTCACTCATATCGTCCTTACGTTTGGAAATAGTTTTGTTCAAAATTGTGTACTCAAACATTTGTGGCACAGAATTGAAAGCAAATTATATGAAATTTCTTATAATTTGCAGATATAGTGGTTGTGTTATAGTTATAGTAAACACTCGAAGATAGCGTTTACTGATTATAAAAAAAACTTCTGAATAGAGTATTCTTTGAGTGAATTAAAGTGTGTTTTTGAGTTTAGGTTCACTTACTGTCGCTCTATAATGTTGTGAGAAAAACGAGTGGACGTATCGCTTAATAAAGCTGGTCTTCCCGGTGCCCAATTCGCCGATCACCAGAATTTTGAACAAATGCTCCTTAACTTCCTTATAGTATCCTTTGTCGCCGTTCTCTGCCGAGTGATCGCTATTCTGCAATGAATTACACTTTGAATAGGAATTTATATTTTAAATAATATAATATTAATATAATTATAAGATATGAGACGCCTTACGATAACATCTCGACTGAAAAACTTTCTGTTTGGAGACATTATATCCGAGTCTTTTGAAACAAACACTTATTTCTATTATAGTTTTTAGTAAACCATTAGTTATCTACTAATTCATACTATAATTATTGTTTAATTAGTGTCTAAACGAATTAAAACAACAACAAAAAATGTTTGTTATGTTTGAATAGTACTTAACGAATGAGAAATTATAATAAATAACAGAATATCAGTGTTTAAGGACTGGTATGAAAGAAAAGTTTCATAAATGAAACGCTCGTCTCTATTATCATATCAGTAGAGGAGATGTTGAACCTAAACATAGACCAACTCTGGCGTCAAATTCTTCAATCGATAACCAAAACTAAATGTATTTTTTAATATTCATTGCTTTTAAATAAATATTTTTAAACCAGAAAACATTGAATTGAAAATATTTGTTATTTATATATTATATATTGGTAATTAAACAAGTTGATTGATTTAACAAGAAAATAATCACGAGTTAAGACTTACAGCAAAAACTTCACTTTTAGACGTCGAAGGCTTTTGGTTATAATCTTGCATTTTGTCGCTCAGTCTTTCACTACTATTCCTCTGACTAATTGTCATTTGATTTGCAGTTATAGACAAACAAATACACTGATAAATTGGGAATCTATTGTTGTAATTGGTTTGCAATTATAGTTTTATCTCTATTCTCAAACACTTTATTTCATATCATTATTTGGAGCCTTTATATAAGTCTA